AGGAGAAACAAAAGAAAGAGACTTAAATCGTGGATCCATTAAAGATGCTAAAAGTCCAAGATCCTTGGTATCTGACCATCACTTTTTCATTGATTTTAAATACTATTATAAATTTCAATAACAAGTTGATAGGTGAGTTGTTGAATATCATTTTGCATATGATTAAAAAGACCTTTAATTGTAGGATAAAAAATAGAAAATGTTGAATAAGTAGCACCACTTAAAAATTTTGTAGCTTGAAAAAATGAATAAAGAATAAATACTAATTTTTTAATACCACTCCATTCATCTTCTGTTAAATATAAATTAGCTAAATTATTTCCATCTTTTCAAATTTCTTTATCATCATCTTTTTGCATCGCTTCATATAATAACTGAATTGCTTATTTTAATTTAAGGAGCCTTTCAAGAACTTTATATGTAGAATTCTATCTCATATCAACATCTTGAATTGGTGCAAGTGCTTCTTTGGTAGGTTGAAGAACCTTTTGAATTTGTAAAAAACGGCTTTGATATTTATTATGATGAACAAAAAAAATATTAAGTGCCTTAATTTTTTTAAGTAATTCTTGACTAGAATCAATCTTTAAACCATCAGAAATAGCTAAATGAATAGTATGTACACAATAAGGAATATTGATAATTCCTAATTTTCTAAAAGCTTTAATTATCTTTATATCATTATCATTTATACTAGTGATGATTCTTTCTCGTAAATTAATATTCCAACGATCAAAGATATGTTGTAGTTTTGCAGCAATATTGGTACCAGTATGATTATATTGCATTTCCTCAATAGTAAGTAAAATTTGTTGAAGTTCAAAATCGGTAGTTATCCAGTGAACAGTTACACTAATATAAGATTTATGAAATCCAGTCCATAAATCAGTTGTGAAACTAAATTTTATCATAATATCATTGAATAATTTAATTTACATTTTGCATGAAAATTCTACACTTTATGCAATCACAATTTTAATTGTGTTATCACAAGGCACTTTATAACTAGGACACAGTGTAATGCAAAAATTTTTGAATTTTTCATTCTTTAGTAAAACAAATGGTTGTAAATCATCTATTATAAATTCTAAAATGCGGAAATTTGTTTGCTTTTGCTTATTTTTTGAAAGTGATTCAATTGCAATTTCTTCAACTTTTTCAATATTCAGTTCTGTTTTTATTTGAGTTATTGGTGTATATTTTGTTATGAGATGAGCATGACCTAAATGATAAGTAAAAGAAAATGTAGCAGAATTCAAAGAGAGACTTGTTTCACATCCTTCAATATTGTATTTTTCAATCCAGCTTTCTTCATCCCTGGTAATCCAATTCCATACCCAACTTGTATAACATTTTTGTCTTTTTTTATTAGGTAGTCTTGATAATGCTTGCTCATCTGTAGTATTATTTCCTTCAGAACGAATTTTAAGTCGTTAATTTAAAAATGCTACATCAAATGAAGGAGGAAGAGAAGGTGACATCAGATTGAAAATATTAGATTGAATTGAGGTAGAGATAGAATCAGAGTAAGAATGTTTTCTTTCTTGTAATAGCTTTTGTTTATTCATCATTATTTTTGATGAAAGTTGAATTTTAATTTTTGTATTTTTATAATATTCGTTACTATTATATTTTATAATAGCTATTAGTTTTATAGATTGGTAATTAACACATTAAAGATGAAAATCTTACCTTCCATATTCATAATATTTGAAGAACTTCAAACAAAGAAATTTTTAAAAAAAAATTACTTTCTAGTTATAAAAATAATAATTTGTTAATAATGTGTAAAATTCTTTGAAAGGAAAGCAACAATCATAAAAACAAAAACATTACCTTCCATATTCATAGAAAATTTTCAAAATAAAGTCTAAACCAAAATTATGCTTAAAATTTAAAAAAAAGACAATATAATAATTTAATTATTTAAAATAATAATCGTTAATAATATGTAAAAATCTCAATTATTAAAACAAAATATTACCTTTAATATTTGTAGAAAATTTCCAAATAAAGTTTAAAATGAATGTGTCTTAAAATATGAAAAACAAAGATGATTAATATAGTAATTTTATTATTTAAAAATAATAGTTACTATAAAAAATATCAAATGAAATTCAAAATGAAAATCGAGCTATAAAATAATTTGGCAGAGTATTTTAAAAATTACCATGCTGAACGTAAGAACCTTTTCAAACTGATTAAATATAAAGCGAAAAAAAACTTTAGACTTAATTTTGAAGTAATAGGCATTATATTTGGAGAAGAGCCACTACCAAGAAAAACCAAAAAAGAAATCAACTGAACCTATTATTTGAAAAATAAGGAGCATTATAAAGATATTTCAACAATATCTAATTAAGCAGATTAAAAAGTTTTCATCTAAAATCTTAAATAAGAGTTCGCCACTAACCCAAGAAATCACGTGGGAAAAAAAAGATACTAATACAATAAAAGATAATTTAGTTATTTAACAATTAATATTGTTTTAAATTTATATTGTATGATGTGATAAAAATTACAACTGCGGTTAACTGATTAATCATTTTAATCGGTTAACCAATGATTAATTATTAATACTTAATTGGTTATGATCACTACCTCCAACTTCTTTCTAAATGTTGAGATCTTCAATACATATTCCACATGTCCTCATTATCAAACACAAAATTTTGGCGTAAGATTCCATTGCATATTCTTCTCAGAGAAGACGTGAATGGAAAAATTACAAAACATTTAAAAGGGTAGTTTACAAATTTTTAGTCCGGATCACTAAATTTTATACTGAATTACTAACGAATTTTGATCATGTCAAACTTAGTAGCTAAGATAGAAGTGCTTTTATTGAAAGAACCATTAGACACTATTTGTGACGCGTCTGTTGTTTATTAAACAATAGAGGATAACACTCTTCCTCCATATGACAAGGTATAAGAAATAGTTGACAAAGTGGTTAACCGAAAATAGAAGATCTTGAATGAAGAACCTGGGTTAGCATCTCATAAATTATAATTACAATTCTGAAAAGTATGATCAAAAACATATCAGAGTTTGAAAGCATTTTGTGATGGGAGATTGATTTGAGAGATTTGTTTGAGAGGTTTGAATAAGATTTATAAGATATATGCAAAACTTTATTTTTCAATTTGTGATATTTAAGACTAATTATGCTTAAAGATATTTTGTTTTTATTTGGAACAGAGTACTTAGAGTATTTTGAGGATTGATTGAATTATGCTTTTGCAAAATTAATAATTTACTTTTTATTCGAATCTCTTACCAGACACCACCACCATATCCAGTATTTTTATAAAAAATTCTTTCGCAGTTGATCACTACGATCATCACAAAACATGAAGGCTACTCTAACAAATATGGCAATCCTATCTATTAATTTACTAATCCCGATTCTGAAATTAATCTGTATTAACATGCAGGCCTCTAATCAATCAATTAATAAAATCAAAATATAGCATCCCCCTTCGGTTAAGGCTTTCAGGCAAAAAGTTTACCATTATTTTTCTCACTAAAATGGTTAGGTTATCTCCCACAAAAGAAAGGCTTCAAGGGAATTGTCATAAAAGGCCGATTTGCTATAACGAATTTGGAACGCGGATAGCTCGTCAACCAATAACCCAATTTTGATAAGGATTGAACGTCTGGATTCAGCAGGTTCTGGAAAATTACCAAACCAAATTTCGTGAAATTCCGATCACTGAATGCGTAGTTATTCAGAAAATCATAAGGTCAATTATTTTGGATATAACTACGAAAGAATCTTATGGAGGCAACATTGCTAAAGTGGCGTGTGAAATGCTGGTGACCTGGCAACCTACAAAATACTAGTTTTTGATTCTGGGAACCTAAAGGAGGTAAGAAATTAGTAGGTTGTTATGTAAAAATTCATAGCTACCCAGTGAATCCCAAAATGTATTATTAGTATTATATAAGGATTGAAACTTCAATCGCTTACGAAACGTGGTCCACATATTGTAGAAATCCCAAATCAATTTGACCAGATGAAGGGCACCGAGAGCTTCAAAACAAGCTAAGGTATGAAGTATTTGGATTACAGGAATCCAAAATAGCCTTTACAGTTGGGAAATTTTACTGTATTACATCATGGATTAGAAGTTAATTAACAAATCGTAGATCAATTTTGCAAAATGTAATACTGTGGAACCGTCACTTCCAGATGCTATGATCGTCACAAAACATAGAACAAATATAGCAACCCTAATGTCTATTAATTTGCTGATTTTGATTCAGCTAAAAAAAATAAACCTATATGATAATTCAGTATACCATCCACCTAATAATTCTCCTAGCCAGATACTGGAGATATAATAGGACTCATCATTGGTGAGGTTTTTCTTTCGTATCTTTCATCATGATAATAATAACTGTCATCATATCCACTGTTTCCATTATATCCATCATCATTCGATCCATATGGTATCTCTTCTTCAGAATCACTGTCATGGTTACTAGGGTTCCGCAATTCGATTTGATATTTGAATATTTGATTTGATTCGAATCAATAGTAAAGCCATCTCCAAAGCTTCAGGAGTGATTCTTACTAAGAAAACCATAG